TGAAGCAAGCCAGGCTATGAAGGAGAGACATTGTATGTGTCCACTTAACATATACTGACTATCGTCACTCTATGGCTGAAACTGAATGACTAGAGGATATAGATGTTAAATGCTCAATGACTTCCAGTACTATGTTACATAGAAAATGGTAAGAGTGAGAATCTTTGTTCTCTTCTGACTATATATGAAATGATGTAAATTTTCTCAGTTAGATATAATTTTTGCTGTGGACATGTCATGCACAGCTTTTATTATGTTGAAATACATTGACATTTCCAGTTCTAAATATAAATGTATATAGTTTGATTTTTAAAATTAGACACAAGAATTTTATTTCTTTAAATAATTATTTATTTAATTTTATTATCATTATTTCTAAAATGTTCTATAGTGCACATTTTCTCACTAGAGAGAAAAAGAGAGGAAAAGTGATAAAGCAGGCCCCCAGGTCTGGGATTCAAATCACTGTTAGTCATGTGGGAGTGTAGTGCCTTAACTACGTCATCTGCTGGTCCTAGAACTTTTATTTATTTTGTTAAAGAATTATTTAATTTTATTATCATTTAAATTTTCGATTGAACATGTAAGCTAATGAGAGAGAGAAAAAGAGAGAGAGAGAAAGCTTCCAGTTCTAGGACTCAAACCTTGGTCAGTCATGTGGGAGTCCAGAGCCTTAAACACTACACCATTGACTGGCTCCCTAGACTTTTATTTTTAAAGTATAAGAGCCAACCTGTGGTATATTTGCTAAGGTGGCTAGACTCCACATGGCCAACTGGCAGGCTTGTGTCCTGGACTTAAGGTACACCCTGGGTGTGTGTGTCTGAGATCCTGACGGGAGGGAGGTTAGAAGAGAAGGAATTGTGGCATAACATGTCCCATGGGGATGCCTTTCCAATTTTGTTCTCTCTTTCTCTTTATCTCTCTTTGTTTCTCTATCCACTGAGTGCACCACCTTCTAGCAATTAAAAAAGTGATTTAATATTATTTTTTGACACAAATCTAAACATAAAGGTGTAACTTGGATAATAAAAAGATTATTAGGAGCTACCAGCATTCATCAAAATTCACCAATAAGATAATAATGTGCAAAATATTTATGGTTTTACATATCTGTTTAGGTACATCAAGCCAGAATATATAAGTAAAACATAAAATTGTCCCAAAGTGAATGGAAAATATTAAATAGTTACTACACAAGAAAAGATAAGTAAACAGTTGGGGCAGGCTGGTGGCATGGTAGTTAAGATGTTGGACTCCCATATGGCAGACCACAGTTTGAATACTGAACCTGCTTGTCTGCTTTCTCACTTTCTTTTTCACTCTCTGTTCTTTGGTCAAATTTAAAAATAATAATAAAAGAATTAAATTAAATTAAATAAAGAATGCTCAAAAATAAAGATAAGAAAATGTTTTAAAAAAAAGAATTATTTAACACTTTTAGCATCAGATAAAAGATAATTA